ATGCTATGTATCCATAAGTTTCTTTCTTATCCATTTTCTCTCATGCTTTTTTGTCTCGTTTAGCTGATCTAACCCCAATCTATTAAGTCTAGTTCAAGGGGAAAAGTGATCCTTCACAGTTAATTCCATGCTCTTTATGTGTGAAATGTTAATATGAACATATTATGATCATCAGCAACAATGTTATGATCATGAAGTTTTCAAGCAAGCTGCAAAATAATATTTGGAGGGGGGGGGCAGATTAGCAAAGCTCTGATGGGGTAGAAGTTTAGTATTCGAATCATGACATACCAGCGAGGAAGTTTTCTCATCATAATGCCATTGAAATGGTGCCTCTTCTGGGCTTTTGTTCTTAGCTGCAGCATTACAGTACTTGGAAGCCAAGAGACACTTTTGTTTCCAAAGCATTTGTACATCCATTGCTTCAGTGGTGCTGAAAATTGGGAATTGATTTTACCCATTGGACTTGCTAATTAATATTGAAGGACATCTGTCTTACCCTTTTATTCCTCTTCCGTGCCCCAATTCCTTACATGTGGTTTCAGCATTAATAACACTTAGTGCTAATGCTTATCAATAATTCAAAACCAGCTCTACAGAAACGTCAAAGTAACTTCAATTATTCCTCTCTTTCCTCCCTCTACTTTTGTGGTACTTTTGGCAGTATTTTTTTTTTTTTTGTTGTTGTTGTTGTTCCAATCTTATTATTTTCAAAAGCTGCGGGCACTTTTGAATTAAAGGATAGTAGAGAAATATGCGAAAAGTAGAATATCAAGTATTGTACATAACAAAATCCAAGAGAGTTTTTAGATGCTACTCCTGGGACAATAGTTATCAGTAAGATTGTACAATGCTCCATGTTCTCATAAAAGACTTCAAATTTCTGTTACCTGTTAGTGAGATTGAGAATATCTCGATCTGTTTAGTTACCTTCTGTTTAGAGTATCTGAAAGTAATTATTGATTGGACTGAAGGAAAAAAAAAACTTGAGGCTTAAAGGTTAAATCCTAACCTAACCTAAATAACACATTTTAGGTTAAACCATCAATGCCTACTATTATAATTTAATTTTGGCCCAGTGTGTCATGCAAACTCTGTCATTGTAATCCATGTTTTTTTTAATTTATTTGTCTATTTATTTTTCATTATTTATTTATAAAATTTATCGGCAGCTCATCTTACCTCAAGGTAATTCTTTTAAAGCTTAGTGCTTAACTCTGTGCCTTCTGTTTCGTTAAGTTTGACTCCAGGCTTTTTAAAGCTGATTAAAAATGGACTTATTGGAAAAATACGACTCACAAGGAATGGAGAGGCAATTGCCTGTGTGGCTTGCTCCAGATTTGTTTATTTTTACATGTTTAATCAATAACTAATGCTATCTTTTTATCATCTAAAGGCAGTGGGGCAGTTTAACAGAAAACGTAGCTAACTGCTCGTGAACAGTGCTTTGTATAAAATTTGGAAATAATTTTAAAAAGCTTTGAAAAACTCCCACAAATGAGGTCTACTTGACATCAAACATTCTGAATTCAAAATCCATATTATTACACAACCATCCCTAAGAAATGGATCTCTTTGTACATATATGTGATTCTTCCCATGAGTTCATATTCTTTTAAATGCTGGACATTCCAAGAGAACAAAGAATAAATCAAAGTAATAATTTCTTCTCTCCAGTTTTTTAATATGAACAGGTCTTGACTAGGACCAAGGGTAAATTATTTAAAAGGGGGAAAATCTCTTTGTAATGAATTCACCTTACAAAGTGTTATATGTCCCCACAGTGTATTGCTCAATGCCTTGGGCACAGTTGGACAGTCTTATTGTATATAAAAGTTATATTTCAGACACATGGTGAGCTTTATTGGTTCTTCACTTTTATGAGGTTCCATTAAAATGAATACTTTAGATCATTTATTACCTGGCATTAAAGCAAAAAGGCTTTAACTGTGAGACAGCCCTGGACTTGCTTCGTATTTCATCTAACAGTTTTGTGAGCAGTGTTGAACATACTGGAATGGGACAGGTATCAGCAGTTTTCCTTTCTCTTTCGCATCCTTTCTCCTCTGTATCATTATAGACTCTCGTTTAGCACTTTTTGGACTGAAAACTTAGCGGTGCTGAGAAGGGTTTGCTGTGCTTAAAAAATAACCAGCTCATTTCATGGTGGTTTGATTGTACTTGCAGAGGGCTTGGAGGAAAACATTTTTGAAGATTGTAATGATCACACTTGAGAGAGGCAGAGACAGAGTGGGACAGATGCCCCATTCTGGTCCTTTGTGGTCTCTCGGAAAATTTGTCTGGTCTGATTGCAGAATATGGGAGACATGGTATTACAGTAGTTCTCTATTCTCTGTTGGTCCTAGCCCTTCTTGGACTAGGAAGAATGGTTGCGTCCAATGCTCCTAAGCACCAGTGCCCTTTGGGGTGTCAGTGCTCTATTCCCTCCCCCCCCATTTAATATATACATGAAACTGCTGAATCAAATCATCCATCAGTGTGCTGATAATATTTAATTACGTATCTTAGGCCAGGCCAGCATGAAGCAATGCCATTAAAGTCATGTCCCAGTAGCTCAGTGGTTCTCAACCTTTTTAATGCTGCGACCCCCAACCGGTCGTAAGTCGAGGACTACTCAACCGGTCGTAAGTCGAGGACTACTCAACTGGTGCAGCACCGTTTGCAGAATGGGACTTTTGGCGGGCTCAGCAGGGCAGAGACAGCCTGGACAATTCCTATTGGCTTTTGAAAGCCAATAGAATTAGACTCTATTCAAGAGAGTCTATTCTATTGGCTTTCAAAAGCCAATAGAATAAAAGGGAGTAGCACAGCTAAGGAAAAGGGGAAAAAAATGGCGGACTGCGTTGTTTGGCGACCCCCGTGAAATGGTCGTTCGACCCCAAATGGGGTCCCGACCCACAGGTTGAGAACCACTGCAGTAGCTAAAGGCTATGAAGGTTTGAATAGGGAAGGATAAGCTCAGATTCAACTCTAGGAAGACAGAGTGACTTTGGGTGTTTGAACCTCTTTGGCCACAAAAAGGGTTACACTACTTGGTTTGGATCTAGTGTGCAATCTGGGAGTCCTTTTGGATTTACAGCTGCTGCTGAAACATGAAGAGGCACCTTTGGTAAGGCAGGCTTTGAACAAGTTCATTCTATGCACCAGTTGTGCCCTTTGATGGACTTTGAAATCATTCACATGGTCTCTCGTTCCCTGATCACTTTGCAAATGAACTGTTTCAATACACTGTACATGGAGTTGCCTTTAAAATCCACAAGCTGCTTAGTAGCAAATGCAGTATAGGTAGTCCTTGACTTACAACTGTTCATTTAGTGATTGTTCAAAGTTACAGCAGCATTGAAAAAACTGACACATGATCATTGTTCACACTTATGACTATTGCAGCATCCTCATGGTTGCATAATCAAAATTCATGTGCTTGGCAGCTGGTTCACATTTTTTGAGAGCTGCAATGTCCCAGGGTCTTGTGATCAGAAGGTTGCAAAAGGTGATCACAAGACCCTGGGACATTGCAGCTCTCAATGGGGAAGCCAGATTCATTTAACAGCTGATTCACTTAATAACTGTGGCGAGAAATGGGGCACTTAATAACTGTCTTGCTCAGCAACAGAAATTTTGGGCTCAATTGTGGTCACAGTTTGAGTGTTACCTATAATGTGGTCATCAATAAAGGACTATGCCATGTCTATATAAATACCCAGGCTCTGTAAGCTGGAGTGGTTGCCATTTGGCTTCTAGGCACAATTCAAAGTGCTGATGGTCACTTTTAAAGCCTTTTACATGGCCAATAACCCTAAAAGGTTATTTGGGAATGACCTATGTCTCCTGATTTCTCTTTATCTGGGTAAGAGTCGGCAGAATTGTCTCTCTCGTTGTCCAGCTGTATAATCTAATAGGACTCAGGAGGCAGCCCTTCAATGTCCTAGCACTTGCCCTCTGGAACAACATCACCCCCCCCCCAAAAAATTTGTATGCTCTCTCTCTCCCCCCCCCCCCATACTGCCTTTTAAAAAAAGCAGTAAAACCACGGGTCCTTCTCCAGGTCTTGAGTTAGGTGACTGAGGGACCCTGTTGTCTATTTCCTCTGTGTGGGTATAGGAGAGTTGGTTGTTGTTCCCTCCACATGACACTACTGCTGGGGTTTTATTTTGATTTTTACTGTTTTATATGTGAAGCGATCCAGAATAATTAGAGTTGAGCTGCTTGAAAAATAAGTGAATGAATAAATTCTACACAGCGATGGAATTTTTCTTTAGGGGGCAGTCTGACATCTCTAGCTAACCAGAAGTCCACCTAGGAATTCCAGAGCCTCTTGGCTTTGACTGAAACATTGAAATATCCTTGCAGAAGAAAATGACAGCAAACTATTTCCATAATATGGATGGATGCATTCATCAGGAGTCAAGCTCTGCTTCTCATTGAACCTGCTACAAGCCCATGGAATTTGGGCTTATATCATGAAGCCATTGTATGTGAGCACTATAATCTGTTGTTCTTTTATCACTAACAGTTGGCTGACATTTTCTACATCCAGGTGCCATTTGGGGCAGGACTGCTGTAAAAATGAAACTTTTCTTGACACTTTCCAATCATTTATCAGGTTTTCTGTTCCAAGGTTTATACGTTGCCAAGAATGCAGTTGCTGTGTGATACAGTCTCTATCTGGAAGTCTGTGATATTAAGTAACATTTGAGGCATTTCGCTTCCATTGCCATAGCCTTTGGTGAATTATGCCGTTGGATCCCTTGTACATTATGGAAGGAGAAAAATGCAAGTGAATATTCAGACATTCTCTACGTGTAGATCAGGATGTGAATCAGATATTCAGTTACACGTTGCAATCATTCCTTTTTTTTAAAAAAAACCCCTCTAAATATGACAGGCAGAGATGGAAGTAAAGCAACCAGTGTGGCCTTTGTTGCAGTCTTTGAATGCCTTTTTCTTTTCACTTTGTTTTAATTGCTCCCTTGGTGCAGGGCTGCCGCACAAGGCCTTTCTCTTAGCTTAATGGAACGGCTGACTCAGAAATACGGGGACCGTGTTGTGAAGATGCTCACTGTGCAGTATCGAATGCACCAAGCCATAATGCAATGGGCTTCCACTGAGATGTACGATGGTCGCCTCTCAGCTCACTGTTCTGTCGCACAACATTTACTGAAGTAAGTGACCTATAGCTTGTTTACTTGCTTTTTTTCTGCCCAAATGTTATATCGATGCTGCCTTTTAATATTTAAAGCTAATGCAGACTTCTCCTGACTGCACTAAATCTTTTCCTCTAGCACTGTTCTAGCAAGCAGCCTTTTGCCCCATTTTCAGCTGGCAAAGAGCTGATTTCTGCACTGAAGGTTACAACATGCAAGTTTTGTTCAGCAGCTGAAGGCATGTTGTAGGCTTGAAATCGTTGTCACTGTTGGCCCACCAGCTGTCATGCTGTTAGACTTGCTGACAACCTTCCCAGCAAATTCCAATTTTTATTGAAACTTAGAAGAGAATGTTAGCTCCCTGTTTCTCTTCTCTTCCTTCTTTCCTTCTCTGGGGATCCATGTGGGATATCCTAAAATAAACAAAACTTCTACCTAGAAAGGGAAGGGAGTGACATATCACCCTGTTTAAAAGAGAAGTAGTTTTAACTCTGACACTGTCTGGCTGTTGGTTGACAGGGGAGTTTGCCTGTTCATTACAGTAATATTCCTGACTCATTCCTTTATTCATTTGAGTCAAATCATCGCTTAAAGTACAACAAGAAAAACAACAGAGATGCCAGGGTTCATGTCTATACGGGGTTTGGGCCCTAGGCATGCCTTGAAGGAGAGGTCCCCACTTTGGGACCTCACTTAACTTCTAAAATTTAAGCATTCGAAGTTTATTTATAGTCCAAGAGCAAACACAAGAAAAAAACAACATATTATAAAAGAATTTTAAAAATTGCAAGAAAATCCTGAGACAATACCCAGTAATTAATAACATGATGGAGGAACCAGATGGTTTCTAAGAGTTATAGCTTTCGAAAGAAATTTTGAAACTTTCTTATAGATTTCTGAAGAGGGGTCACCAAAAGAAGGTTCATGGTCTCCTGATCACAGTGGCAAAGCAACCAGGAAATATTAAGTTCTATCATCATTGGGGATACAGCCGACATTTTACTAGAAAATGTGAAACAGATTCTACCCCCATGTCTGAAAATAATTATGGCTTTCATGTGGAAAACGTATATATCTGCCAGGTTTTGGTCTAATAAATAATGCCCAGGCTGTTGTAATAGTCTCCTATGAGGGACATATATAATATTGAAGAAATATCTAGGGCAGTGATGGCGAACCTTTTAGAGACCGAGTGCCCAAAAACTGGCCCCGTCCCCACTCCATTTCCCTGCTCCGCCCCCACTCTGCCCTGCTCACAGGACCACTCACCACCTCTAGGGCCCGTCGCAGATCGCCAAGGGAGCCCAGCAGCGCTATGGCAGCCACACCCTCTGCCCGTGTCCTGCAGCATCAACTGCATGATGGGGTCCTATTTGAGTCTTGTCTACGCTGCCTGGCTGCATGTCTTTGGCTGCACTGCTCCATGTGGGCTACGCTTGAGGGTGACTTTTCTTCAGGGGGGCTGCTGGAGAGGAAGGGGTCACGAGGGGAGGCAAGGCTGGGGCAATGGCACGTGTACCCACCCGTGCCATAGGTTCGCCACCACTGATCTAGGGTTAGTCCAGAGAAGAGAAACAATTGTGTTATCACTAATATGCCTTTTTAGGGTAGCAGAGAACCTATCTAGCATGGTGAGATGGACAAAGCAATTTCCTTCCTAGGATTCCTTCAGCCAGATCCTAGGACAACAAAATTGAGCCCCAAGAGAAATGCAGCTAACGTTCCAGTCAGATTGTAGCATAAGAAATTGAACAAGGGACTTGTAATAAGATTTTTTAAAAATTTTGACTTAAATTGCTTTTAAGCTAGAGGACTCCTTATAGATACTGAGCACCATATAACATCATGCCCAGAACTTTAATTTAAAATAGTTTAATAGCTTCGGAAAGATCATTATTTCCAGATCTGCAAATTTAGTGATCGCAAGAGATGCTTCTTGGATTCTTGCTAGTAGCTTTCTTGCGTGAATAGACTTGCAAGTAGACGATTGAAAATAGATATCTAGATACTTAAAGGATTTAACCTGCTTGTTAAGTTTGCTGCTAATCATCCAATTAGAGCTTTAAAGTGTTTCCCGGAGGATACCAATACCTTTGTTTTAGAATAATTTATTTTGAGGCATTTTCTGGAGCAGTAAAGCAATAGAGCTTTAAGATGTCTTTGAGAGTCTGGTTTAGAGAGTAGGACTTCATCTTCACCATAAAGAAGAATAGAGATGGGGTAGTGGGCAAGACAGGGTGGATGTAATTCTAACTTAGCAAACTCTTAGCACTATTGTTAATGTAAAAATTGAACAGTAGTGAGGAAGAATATTGTCTTGTTTAACACTTTGCAAGTAGAGACACATTTAATTAAGTCATCAGCAATATTGCCCTTAACTTGAATAGTAATACCATGACGCAATAGCATTATTAGTTTAAAAGAGGATGTTGTGGTATCTAATTTCTTCAGAGTTTTTATCATGGTATAGAACAGTGATGGTGAACCTTTTAGAGACCGAGTGCCCAAAAACTGGCCTCGCCCCCACCCTGCCCCCGCTCTGCCCCACCCCGCTTGCCTGCAGGGCCACTCACTGCCTGCAGGGCCCGCCGCAGATCGCCCAGGCAGCCCAGTAGTGCCATAGCGGCCATCCTCTCCCCACGCCTTGCAGCATCAACTGTGCGCGATGGGGTGTGAGGGCAGAGTCTTCACTACGCTGCCTGGCTGCCATGTCCTTGGCTTTGCTGCTCCACATGGGCCACGCTTGGGGGCGACTCTCCTCCAGGGGGGCTGCTGGTGAGGAGGGGTTACGGGGGGAGGCAAGGCTGGGGCAACGGCACATATGCCCACAGAGAGGGCTCCAAGTGCCGCCTCTGGCACCCATACCATAGGTTCGCCACCACTGGTATAGAGTCAAAGGCTTCCCTCTAACCTATGAGGGCTACATAGAGGGCATCCTTAGATTGATTACAGTATTTCTCAGCTAAATGAAGTAAAATGATACATTGGTTCATGGATGTGTGATCAAAGATTTTCAGAGGACATCCAATCCTAGAGTTTTTAAAATTTAAAAATGGAAACTGAATAAGAGAATAGAAGAGCTAGGAAACAAAAATAAACTGTGAAGCTATATTTGCATTTTTTTTTAGTGACGAATTTAGCTATAATCCAAAGCTTGTGTATGTGTCTATTTGTTAAGAAAATAATAAATTACACCAATATTTAGAAAGACCAAGATTGAAGAAGTTTTGGAATATGGCACTTCATTGTATGTTGTAACAATCCATTTCCTCATTTGTTAGAAAAAGTGATTTTTTTCTGCCATGAACCAATGTATCATTTACAGTTGTATTAATAGGGATCGGCATATGTATTTCACTTTATAGCTCCTAAAATATAAAACTAGGTCACACAAGGAAAGGTTTGGTTTTTTAAAACAAAAATAGATACAATTCAGGGAACATTTTCATCCAGATAGTGTGGAAAGGAAATTACCGTATTTTCCAGCGTATAAGGCGACCCGGCATATAAGATGACCCCCGACTTCGGCGCCGATTTCCATGCCTAGAAAGTCATCTTATGTGCCAGAAACTACTATAATTTCCAGTGTATAAGACGACTCAGCATATAAGACGACCCCCGACTTCAGTGCCGATTTCCACGCTTTAGAAAGTCGTCTTATACGCCGGAAAATACGATATATCAGGGATTTAAATCACTAAGAAAATAATTTCAGGACATAATATTGATGGCCAATGAAGTGAAATATTTTTTAAAGTCTGTGAAAAAAATTGTCAACTATAAAAATGAGTTGCTGCTTTGAGAGAAGGAAGATGTTTGTGTCACAAGTAGGGGCCATAAATTTTTGCTGCCTTTGCTAAGCTCTATGAAAGTCTCTTGGCCTGAAATTTTCTGATCCCCTCTTTCTAATCACCAGGTTATAAGAAAATACAAGATGGGAGATAAAAAGACTTTGGCAAAACTACTCAAATTTTACAAGCTGTACAGAGGGGGTTACACGCAGTGTTATTAAATCACACTCTGCCCCCCCCCCCAACAATGTGCTTGGTTTTTACCTTACTGTGTTCAAAGAAGCATGCACAATTGCAGTTTTAACAGCCATTTCAGTATTAAGGAAAAGTATAAATCAGTGGTGGCGAACCTATGGCACAGGTGCCAGAGGCAGCACTCAGAGCCCTCTCTGTGGGCACGCGTGCCATTGCCCCAGTCCTAGGCTTTCAGCTGGGTTTTATAAAACCTTTTTGCTTTAGGCCAGTGTACAAAAAAAAAAAGGTTCAATCAGTCAATTTCAACTTCTTGCGGGGGGAAAAAAAAGATCTTGCAAAGTTGGAATTGATTGATTTAACTTTTTAGTCCCACCCAGTCTGCTATTACCACCGCAGCCACGCCCATCCAATGGGCCACACCCACCCAATGGGCTACACCCACCCAGCACTCGATGATGCATAAGTGGGTTTTGTGTTGCAGTTTGGGCACTCGGTCTCTAAAAGATTCGCCATCACTGGTATAAATAATTCCAACTGGACTCGGCAGAATGTTAGGTACATTATTCTGAAATGTGTACCATCATATTCCATAAGCGTTTTCTCAGCAGAATTTTGCAGAACACGTAACACTGGCTCAATTGCATCTTTGTTTTCAGCTTTTCAAACACATGGGGAAGTCCATTATTTGCTTTTCTTAATCATTTTAGTCTATTGGTACTCTTGTGAAAAATGAAAGGGTCTAATCTTGTTGCAAAGATTTTTACAATTGTTGCATTCCTTTCATGCTGCTTTTTGTGAGCTGCCATACCTGCTTGTAATAAATCCATTTACACAGCAATAATATTAAAATGCTATCCATTATTAAAAAGGATCTCAGCCATGATAACTGTTGGCTTAATGTCCACATTTAATTTGTATTTTGGGTTGTAAAGAATACATTTTGCGGTGTAAACAGTGCAAAGAAGCCTTAGATAGTGACAGAGAGGCCAATATTTATTTACATTCTCCACAGATTAAATTTGAAAACTTGTCCCTATGAATACTCCAAAAGCCTGCAAGTCACATACTAACCAAATAGATCATGAATGTTGGAATTCTAAATGTTTCCCGCCGAAGCGCTGAATGTCGATTCAGAGCTTTGGTGGATAAATATATTCCAGTTCAAAATCCTGACTCAAAATTAGATTAGTAGATTAAAAACACCCCACAAGATGCCTTTTTTTCTGGAAAGCTGTTTCCTATAACCTCCAGTTTTGTGGTACTATTTTTATTACTTTAAAAAAAATGAAAAGTGGAGCTACTTAGTAGAATACGTATAAATTTAGATCAGATTTTGTGCCTTAGGACAAATCGTGCACCAGTTAATTGCAATAGCTTAACTTGAGGTGCTAACATAAATTCTGATTTATATTTAATCTGCTATTAATACAAAGAAAAAATGTTGTTGTGGAAGGCTAATAAAATGAGCTTCCTTTTCTGGGAAGCTAGTGTGAGTTTCTGAAAGTAATTTGCCATTAGCTAGCCCAGGGTAGGCAACCTTGGCTCTTTGCTGGCTCAGGAATTCTGGGAGTTGAAGTCCACGAGTCATAAAAGAGCCAAGGTTGCCTACCCCTGAGCTAGCCCAACTTTGGAATATTTTAAGGCTTTGTTTGGGTGATTGCTGTCTCTGACCACCAAGACGTGAAAGCTCAGATTACTTTAAAAAGTTCAAGTCTCAGTAAATTGGAGATGTGCTGAGAATTCAGTTTTTGCTACAGACATACAGAAATACCATATATTATTCTTAACATGGACAATTAATGATTCCACACTGTCAGGAACTGCTAGTTTATGTTACTCTGGCGCGAAGGGAACTTGGTTATAAAAAAATATTAAGTTGTTTCTTTGGGAATGTCGAACCCCAGAATCAAGAGAAGGCAAAAAGAAAAACTGCTCTTATTGATGATACATTCATCTTAACTTTTCTCACAACCCAGCACTGTTTTCATAAATAGACAAAACCCTGATCGGGCAATGTGTATCTTTCTTTTTAAATTAGCGTTTTTAACCAATTCTCCTTTGCATTCCTTAATAACTGCTGATGGTAAAGTGAGAATTGGTTTGCTGTCCCAGTAGCTTTAATCTCATAAAGATTGCATCTAAATGTTGAAGGGAGAGTTATTTGATATAAGAATCTTTTGGCATGATTTTCTCTGCAGATGGAATTATTTTAAAAGAACAAAAATGGGGTTGAAAAAAGAGTATAAGTAGAGAAGAACAAAAGCTTCAGTAACCTCGCTGGCATTGTCTCTGTATATTGACCAATGTGTGAGAGACCAGCTCTGTATCTGAGACCTTGCAATAGGATAATGCAGAAATACTTGTTTTTTTGTTGTTGTTTTTTAAAAATCAGTACAGTAATTGCTTACTTCTCCATCCAGAACAAAGAATTGGTCTTTGGAGAAAATGCTATTAGGAACAACTTGCAAATGCAGTTTTGAACAAATTATGTCCATTAAACTTAACATTCTAGTCAGAGATCTTCAACAAGACTGCTTCAGTGCATATTCATGCTGAGAAACCTCCATCCTTTTCGGTGGGTGGGAAGTTTGTTGTCATTTCCACTTTTAGCTTACAACTTTTTCTCTTATTATGTAGACCAGCAGACTGTACTGAATAGTAACTGGAGTTTAAAATATGTTGACTTTAAGCTATGATTTCTGAAACCACTTTGTTTGAACCAATACAATTAATATTCATCACAGTTCCTGGGCAATCCAAAATTGTAACTTGGTTATTTAATACTTAAAAACATAATACTTTTAATACTTAATAACAGGAGCAACAACTTCTTCATTTGGAGAAGGGGTTTGATACAACTCTAGTCCTTCATGTACCTATAGAGAATTTCTTCATAGCTATGACAGGGCAAGCCATATTTGTATTACTCCTGTTTATCTATATACTGGTAAGTATCAATATACTTCCAAGTGTCAGTTGCTTTGACATTATTGTACAAACGAAATATAATGCCAAGGGGCAGAAGGAGCTGGGCTATGTAGCTTGCAGGTTTGATGGGAACTGGGTCCCCTGGAGTCACTGGGAGGTGGGAGGTGAGGTAAACCTCTCTTTTACATCTTTGTATTCTCATTTGCACTCCTCACAATTATATCTGATCATCTAGTATTATGATCTTATATTCTGAGTCCTTTCTTATCAATAGCTTCTGTACATAACCAAATTTTTAAAAAATGAATTACATTCTCATACTTCAAATCATATTCATCCTTGCATCCCTTAAAATTATTTCCATGTGTTTATTCAGAAATTAGGTATACAAGGAACAACTGTAGTTCTGTAACATTGATGATTAATACGGCTCTTTTAAGTACAAACAACATCTTTTTACGGTTATTAGACTCACAGAGTGTATCTTTTTCTAATATCACAGCTGTCACGTTACTGTCTCCAGCAATAAATCAAAGCACACTTCTTTTGCTTCTGAGCAAAGGAAGCAGTTGTATTCTGTGAAAGCTTTCGTCTATAATTTTATTCTTTGCTTTCATTAAAAATAATTTTAACTGCCCTATTCTGTAATTTGCTTGATGTATGCGTTACTAGAAGCAATGCTGCTGTTAAACAGGAACACCATATGTGCTAATTTATGTTCCCATCAGGCTGCATGTATTGTTTGTTTCCACATAATAACTAAGAATAGGTTCCAAGGTCTCATAGTTGCAGAGAGAAAATAAAATGAGCTTACAGCTTCTTGCAAAAATAATTTGTGTAATTCGTTTTAATAACTTGACAGAGACTTGCCAGGAGTGTCCCCCACAGAAGAGACCAGTATCCCATTGCTGCTTATAGATACGGCTGATTGTGGCTTATTTGAACTTGAAGTAGAAGAAGAACAGTCTAGAGGAAACCCAGGTACCATCATTTACTCTGCTTCATGATTTTTGTTTCCTATGTGGCACCTTTTTTTCAAAAACTGCCCCTTCAGTTTATATTACCTGTGTAGTGGTTTTGCAATACCAGCTGATGCTAGGTAAAAAAGTTTCCTTCTACCAGAAAAGTATTATAAAATTTGAGCTATTGACTGAAATACTATATGCACAATCACAGGTACAAGTGGAAATAGTTGAATATATCAGGAAATTTCTTGCATGTCATGCTTGAATTACATATATTAAATCCTTAGGCAGATGAATAACTTATTTAAATTAGCCATGGCTTCCAAGACTGTTTTCAGACTATAGTTTCTGGGTGGGTTGTTTCTTTTTTGGGAGGGGTCCAAATGCAAGTAGTAACTGCAAGAGAAATAGATTCATCAGATTCTTTTCACATACCAAAAATTCCATCCATATTACATTGTACTATAGTATGACTAATGAGTCAATATAAAATATAAAATGGAGCAAGAAAGAGACAGAAGGTAGTACAATTTTGGTTGTGACTAGAAGCAGCAAAATTCTAACTATTACTTAGTTTCATAAATTTGAACTTTGTACCCCCTTAGTTAAAAGTGACAGAATTTTAAATTGGGCTTCATGAGTAGTCTGAAAAAATAGAAACCAATGTTGCAATGAAATGGCTGGGCATGCACATGGGATTGAAGCAGCTTGCAAAGCTGCTATGAGGTTTTTAAAAAGAAGGAGCTGCTTTATCAGATCAGAAGGAGGACTTTCCTGTACATTTCCATGAATTAAGTGAATGAAATCTAGCCTTGGTGGAACAAAAGACTACCAAACTGGTAGAAAACATGCTCATAGGTTTTAGGTAGAAATCAATTGTGGTGGATTATAATTAACTTAGCTTTGAAATTTTATGAGTACAAAGAATGGAGGCCAAAATTGAAGGCAAATAACACACATTTTAGAAGCTGTTCATACTCATGTTTTCTCTGACATGATGCCCACTGTTTTCCCTGGCATCTGTTTTTTAACATATGTCCATAGGGTTGCAGCCCTAAATAGTCTCATGTGAGCATTGATGCATAAGTGAATGTCAAGTAGTCTGCAGTATTATTTCATTCCCACTTTTTAAACAAAAAAAAATATAGTAATCTAGTCCATATCTGTCTCATTAGACACAGTCATTTATATTTTTTATATGCAGGAACATTTGATTCTCTGGACTTGAATAAGGCTGCTTATGTAAATTTGAAATAATGTCAGGTTTTTGAGCAATTCTTTAAAAATAGCTCAATCTGCTAGGAGAATCTTTATAAAGTATTGGTTTCTTGCCTACTTCAACATAAAAGGAATCAGATCTTTTTTAGGAAAATAAGTCTTGATCCCAAACTTTGTGCAAAGGGCAATAGATCATGAATAATAAACATGAAGAATGTAGAAAAGTGTTTATTGTTCTTCTAACTAGAGGAAAAAATAGCTGGTGATGGGGGTGGGATTCCATGATTAGTCTTGTTATAGAAAAGAACTGGGACGTGTGAGGGAGGGGCAGGGATGGAGAATTTTAAATTCTCCAGATACTGTTAAATTCCATTTTGCTTTAACAGGGATCAGAGATGGTGGGAGTTGTAGTCTGTTACCTTCTGAATCACCATAATAACAATTACAATAATAATAACAATAGCAATAAAAACCACCTTCTGGATAAGCACAAATTTCTTACCTGTACCCTAGGCTTAAATACAAAGTTGTGATGGCATTCTAAATAATAGGTAGGAGTAGAGTTCCCATGGCCAAGCTGAAAGCCCAGACCAGGGGTAGGCAACCTTGGCTCTTTTATGACTCGTGGACTTCAACTCCCAGAATTCCTGAGCCAGCCATGCTGAGGGGAAAGGGAGAGGTTTCCAAGCTGAGCCATGCTGGCTCAGGAATTCTGGGAGTTGAAGTCCACGAGTCATAAGAGAGCCAAGATTGCCTACCCCTGGCCCAGACCAATCTACTGGTCTCCAGTAATACAACTTACATCTTGGTAACAGCTGGACAAGTTGTATGGACAGGTACCAGTGATGCTTTTTTTCTGGCACACATCTATTTTACTTGCCTTTATGAAGTTTCCTTACTATAATTTCAATTTGGTTTTCTAGGTAGGAAATACTCATTCGATATTAGTTTGCTAAGGTGCACTTCCCAGAGTCACGTAAACTGGGGCAGTTTGTAAACAGTGCAAATAAATAAAGTAGCTTTTAAAAATGTTTTTTTGTTTACTATGTACAGCATATGACACATGTGAATGAGGACCATTTTATGTTTTGGTATGTACATGTACCCTTGCTAAATTTGCCAAGGAACAGTTGTGGACAGCTCTTTTTTCATGTGATGAGATGTGGACCAGCAAGTGCCTGGTGAATGAATAAATTGAACAAAAGAATGCTACTTGGTTTGCCATATGCCCAACCACAGATCATCATCTAAATCAAGGACATGAATCCTTAGCAAGGGGACCTATGGCATAGCAGTGGGAAACCCATATAATGAGAAAACCTTTATTTTCTTTTGGCTTCCTATAACCTTTGAATTCCTAGCAAATAAACCTGTGCTTATATACTCAGTCAGTGGTGTCAAACTGCCGGCCCGCGGGTTGGACGTGTCATTCGGAAGCCGCGCCCACCCCATTGCCAGCAATGGCAAAACCATCCCGATACGTTGCGCAACGTCACGTGACGTCGTGAGTTTGGCATGTCTGTACTAGGTGATTATACACACGCTGCTGGTTTTTCTATTATTTAGAATGTGGAATGAAGTTTAAAGCTCTATTCGGTTTTCTAATTGAACCTGCGTGCCCGCTTCTTCAACCTTAAAGGTGCTTGTTCCTTGTTCCCAGGTGAGATACAGCTTAGCGGTTTGCATATAGATGCTTTGATAGAAGCTGGTGTGAAAGCCAAAGATATAGCTGTCATTGCTCCTTACAATCTTCAGGTTAGTGCATCCATTGCCATATATTAAGAAACATGTCATATTGAATAAAAATTGAAAGCCCGCAAAACAATAGAAGGAAACATGCTAGCATTGATGATGCTATCTAGTTTGGTAATGAAATGTCTGAAAGAAAATCACCAAGCTAAAAAGAGCACCAGTGACCCCACAATAAGCACAAACGAAAATGAAACTGACTTGGATCTTCAGGGACCAAAATTACTTTCATTAACATTAAATAAATTCAGTGAGGTAGAGGCAGAACTTTATTCTATTTTCTTGATCTCTATGGACTTACATGTTCTGTGAGCTGCTTGGTGTAGACCTAGCAATTGCTTCCAATCATCTACTGGTCTACAGTAAATTAGGACGATCCCCATTCCACGCTCTGGGCTGTAGATCATATAGAAATAATGTGTTAGACAAGAATGAACATCGGATGTAGCTTTTTGTTCCTTTTTGTAGCAGTCTGCCTTCCCATATATTAGATGCTTAAGTTCTAATTGTTTACTTTTGGAAAGAGAGGACTTTTTCAGTAAAACGGCATTCATTTCCTATGCCAATAAGTGCTTTGTTTTTCAGGTGGACATGCTAAGAAAACATCTGTGTCATAAATTTCCAGAGCTGGAGATTAAATCCGTGGATGGCTTCCAAGGAAGAGAAAAGGAGGCAGTTGTCCTTTCTTTTGTAAGATCCAATAGAAAAGGTAAATTGTCATAACCTGGAGCAATGCGAAATGAAAGCAAGGAATTTACAAGAAGCACTGATGCTACTGCATATTGCTGTGGTTGTGACTGATTCATGATTCTGGCTGGGGAATTAAAAAGAACATTATGATTTCCTGTAATTCTTTTTAAAAAGAGATCAGAATGGTGAATAGTAAGAAAATGATAAAATAATTGAGTCAACGGTTTGGTAATTACGGTGACTGTTGTTCAGTTTAAAATTCTATCATGCAGTCATATGAATCATAACTATTCAGGTGACTGTGAATGTAACTCAAAAGATGTTTCTAAAGTTTGTAAATATTTTCTTCTTTCCCATTGTAAGAGGTGGGGCATGATATGGAGAGGGATTTCTTCTCTGCTTCATATGGTTGCTGGAGAGAAAAATTGCCTTCCTGTTTATGGATTAAAATAGATAAGCAAGTTATGGTTCATTGTTGTCTATGTATTATATCTTCTAATATGGTTTTGACACTTGGTAATTACTTCCCAGGTTAGGCTCCTCAAGCACAAATTGGTGACTCACATATTTTAATGTGCCCTTTAATGTTTATTTTTCCATTTGTCTTCTGCCTTGCTCCTTATACAGGATTCAACCCCATCGGTTAAGTAGCTGAGCTGACTCATCTTGGCATTTGCTATATGTTATTATAAAGTCTAAAAAAAACTAGAGATCAGAAATAATTTCTAGAAAAGGCTTTGTCATTTCTAACTACTTATTCAATCTTGGATGCGGCTTTTTTTTAAAGATTATGCTAAATATTTTTCTGACCTTTACCAGTCTAGTTAATAATTAGAAATGAGCAAAATGCATTTGCAATACTTCAAGAAAGCTTCCTCGTGTTAATTATATCTGCTTGTCAGCTATAGCTCCAGTCTCAGAGCAGTTCTGTTGTGGACAAAAACTTTATAAAGCTTATTTAATCAACATGGACAGTCCATATGCTTTTCCTCCCAGTTGTGAAACAAAATGAGCACTTGAACATCTTTCTGAAGTCATATCAAGTGCTAAAAATTCTTATTTTTCTAGTTCCTGGCTGTTTATTGAATTTTGCTTTCCTTATTTAAAAGTAAAATGGATTGAAACTGGATTTCTCAGCAACATATATTGAAATAATATTGCAACCTATCCAAAGCTTTAGTGTTCCTTGGGCCTTCCACACTAGATTATTGACTAAAAATCTGCCTTTCTGAAAATTAATGACTTTATAAGTAAATTTGAAGCAGATTGATAAACTGTGTTCACCTTGAAATGAAAACAAGCCTGAATTTAAGCATTTCTCTTCCCCCTTACTTTTACTTTTCAAAAAAACTAGGGAGGGCCTTCTGAGATCCTTTGAACACCCCTTTTCCTTCTGTGGGCTGAGATACCTGAAGCATGATGGTTGTCTAGACTAGGCTTTTCCTTCTGTCCCTAAGGTCATTTCCAGATATCATTGTTCTACAAGCCAAGTTGTCACTCCGTCAAAATGATGTCCATAAATACTGTCAAATGTATCTGATCTTTATCGTACACTGGACTAGGTATGTTTTTGTATGATTATGAGGCTTGGCTACATATGTTTTGTAGTCTGTCACCATGATCATTCAGTTTGAAATTAGGCCCAGGAAAAATGATATTGCCATCTCAGATCTCATAGTTTTATGATAATGATAACAAAGAAGTTATACAGTATGACTGTTGAAATCTTCATGGGATCTGCTTGTGCAGGTTCTTTTTACTGAAAATGTGTTTGGATTTGTTTGTAAGTAACTTGTGCCTGCACTCTGTTCATGTGTTGAATCCATTTTGGAAACGTCATTCTTGGGTAATAGTTTAGATAATTATAGAAAGAAGTAATCTACTTAACTGAATCCCATGGAGTTCAGTCTAACTTGCTTCTGAGGAAATATGCTTGCAATAAAATGGCCTCTATTATCATTACTTTACGTGGTCTGTCAAAGCTCTGCATCCTGACTTCCTGTTTTTATGATGTGTAGGTGAAGTGGGATTCCTCGCTGAAGACAGGAGAATAAATGTTGCAATTACTCGTGCCCGGCGTCATGTGGCTGTAATCTGTGACTCTCGCACTGTTAGCAACCACAGTTTTCTTAAACGGCTGGTAGAGTATATGAGCACCCACGGTGAAGTGCGCACAGCCTTTGAATACCTGGATGACATTGTACCTGGAAACTACGCTTCCAAAAGTTCTATGGGTCTCCGTGACCAGGAAAAAAGACTTAAATGCAGCACTTCCCCAGTCCCAAAGGCTCTTGGAGAGAAAGCAAAAGGAAGACCTGTCCAAAAACCTAGAGAGAGGCTAACAGAACGTTCTTTGGAAAGCACGAGCAAAGTCACACCATCAGAAACCAAAGAGAATGAAAGCTCATTTAAACATAAAGCAAGAATATTGGAGTTTCTGGATAGCGAGGAAGTCCAACTGGATTTCCCTTCGTCTTTAAATGCTCACGATAGAATGCTTATTCATCAGTTGGCTGAAGAATACGGGCTGCAGCACATGAGCACAGGAGAAGGCAGCACACGATACATAAGCATTTGTAAGAAAGATCCTCCTACAGAATTCTCTGTAGGAGATACTCTGGTTTGTCAGCATGAATTAATTCAGAGCTGTCCAAAAGAAATTGATGCAGGCAATGAGGAAAGGGAAAGCGGTGCTGGCCCAGGGGCCACAGATCTGAAAACGTTGCATGTGGAACGGATGCAAAGGAGGAGAGCCAAGAAAGAAGAGAGAGTGAAACAAAACCGAGAATCGAATGTAAATCTTCAGGAAATAATTGGGAAGAAAGAAAAAAATGGAGGTAAAGAAGCCCCTTTCTTCCATTTGCAGTTTAAAATACACCCCTTGCATTCTTCTTTAATCTGCTGTTTATTCTGTTTTTCTTTGTAATCCCTACATGGATTCTCTCCTGATAAAGGGAGCGTGTCCTTTGAGGAGCTTCGGGGAAATTTTAACCAAAACGCAGCCAAATATCAAGCGTCCTGTTTTTATACTGTGCTTACAGAAGGAGTTGCTAGAAGCAGGCTTACTTCTAAAACACAACTACTTTTGAGAGCAACCAATAATTTCAGATCTAGGAAGCCCATGTTCCACAAATAGTTTTTTTTGGGGGGGGGGGAATGTCAGCCAAATATTTGTCCTGGCTTTTGGAAATATACGGATTTTATCCCCAAATCAGTATCTCTGAAATTATCAGAATAGACGACCTAGGGCACAACATGGGCTTGCTTTTGTGCAGTTGGATTATTGCTTAGAACATTTTGAGGAGACAAAGTGCAGCTCCTTAGATGACCACTAGCTGAGCCAGAGTACATTAATATCTTTTAACATATCCTAGTTCAGTGTTTCTCAACCTTGACAATTTTAAGGCATGTGGACTTCAACTCCCAGAATTCCACAGCCAGCATTGCTGGCTGTGGAATTCTGGGAGTTGAAGTCCACATGCCTTAAAATTGTCAAGGTTGAGAAACACTGCCCTAGTTCTCTTTCTCGGACCTTTATGTTCACATAGAGGCTATACATGAGCTTATCAATACAAATGAAAAAATGGTATCAATAGACAACAAAAACTCCCTTTGCCTTGCTAGGAGAGTGGGTGCATGCAAGCACCTGAATATTTGCCCATACTCTACATGTACCCATTTTCTATGACTGATAATTGGGGGGGGGGGAATGAAACCACTGAATATGTGCATAGATACCTTCTGAAATTCACATCTTCCCAGATTTCTAACGAGGAAGAAAATCCCCTCAGGTGCATTGATAAGACTGCTATAAAATACAGAGGCAATAGGATTTCTTGGGCATGGGAATAAACCTATGTCCAGGCAGTGCCTTTGATTTTGATGTAAAATCAAGAGCGCCACCCCTCATTTTTGAATCAGTAAAATTTTCCGGAGCAGACTTCTCAAACTATGACACCCTCCAGATGTATGGCTTTCTACTCTCAGCAGCCCTAATCCCTCTTCCTCCTCCTTTAAAGTGTTCTCTAAAAGAGTTTCTAATTTAGTTGGGCAGCTTCAAAGATAGTTCAGCTAGTCTCAGGCAGTTTGTCTTCATATACGTAAGCTAATGTCTAAGAACACCAGACATTGCCCAGATCAGATTGAGCTATGAGGATGGTCTGGCCCAGGGCTCTTTTATGACTTGTGGACTTCAACTCCCAGAATTCCTGAGCCAGCATGGCTCAGCTTGGAAACTCTCCCTTTCCCCTCAGCATGGCTTGCTCAGGAATTCTGGGACTTGAAGTCCACAAGTCATAAAAGAGCCAAGGTTGCCTACCCCTGGTTTGGCCCCTGAGGAGCAAAAGGGTATCTTTGTTTTTAACTGTATTTTATGGATTGCTGTGAGCCACAGAGAGACATTGTCTGAAATAGGAGCCATATAAGTCCTATAAACAAACAAATAAATAAATCTCATTATCGCTACTCCATTATCATACTTTGCCTACTCTTATTTGCCCACTTTATCTTACTGTTTCCTTTTGAAGGAGAAGTTAGTGCTATATGTTGGCCATCTGTTTGCCTATTGCCAGTGACCTGCCTGTTTGATACATTGCTGATCCTAAACTCTTGATCAACACAGCTGTGCCTCTTTATGTCTACAATAAAGTTGTTGTGTGCAAACTTTTTGTACCTGCTCTCTTAATTATTTTATGCCCTTATATTTATTTAGGAAAAACATCTAGTAAACCCCAAAAGGAAATTGCAGCCGAGGAAGATTTTGATGCTATGATCTCTGCAGCAATTAAAGCTGACAACACATGTGGTTTCTCCAAATGCAAAGCCAGCGTAACAACTCTGGGACAACTCTGCCAGCATTGCAACAGACGTTACTGTCTCAGCCATCATATCCCAGAGGTATGCTTTGGTCTCCTCTCAGGCAGACAAAGCACATCCATTTTCTCCCTTCTCCACCCCCGGTTTTCAGAGCCAACATAATTTTCAGGAGAAATTGAGATGTTATTTTAAAGTATTCAGTGTAGTTGACTTTTCAAGGAAGCTCATAGTAATAAAGGCTGTTCAGTATTGGCAAATCCAGTGAAGGATAACTTTCCCCCATTTATCTTAGCTTGCCATTTAATATATACATGTGCATGTACACGCAGACAAATATATACTTGCGAAAAAATCTATCTTTAGAAAGGTGGAGATGGGAGTTCTGCCTTATGAAAGTAATGTAGCATAATAAATAGAGAGGGTATAATTCACAAAAGAATTGAAGCTATAGTTGCCTCCAGTTTAATTTCCCAATGACTGGAAATGCATCCCCTGCTGTGCAATAAGGAGGAAAAATGTTGATTTGCAGGGCTGTTTTTGCTCATAGTCTTTAGGTTTTAAAATGTAGTGGGTTTTTTTTTCCTCTTGGTATTTTAATGGAGTTATTTTTTATGGCGATCCGTACTCTTGAAACATCATTTTATCTCTTTTTAATATAAAGGATGGTTTTATTTCCTGTTAAAATACACATTCTTTTTCACTCTCGTTCATTCTTTAAATTTATATATACACACATATACATACTACCCTCTCTCTTGATTCTTCGAAATGAATTGGGTGAGGATAATGTTTATCCTTTAATGGAATGACCATTCTAAACCATTAAAAGGCACTTAACCTTGTGGAGCAAGATATCTGTTTTTAATGCTGAAATAATGGGATGTTTCTATGTTCTTTCCATCAAGCTTGTGAGTCATTCTCTCTTTTACTCAAAGCACTTCTTTATTTTAAACTCCCATTCACATTCATTCCCAATACCCAAGTACTTGAAGGAGTCTTGTGCTCTATAGATGCTTTGCATCTCCTCAAAAGTAGATCTTAATGTTCTTTGTATCCATTCAAGGGGTAGCCATGAGTATTATATAATGTGGAAATCTTTACTTCTCCAACTCTGTCAGGTCTGTGCACATGTTCTATCAATGCAGCATTTTAAATCCTATCTGACAGGAATAATTACATTGATTACTAATAAGGAATGTTTTTAGATATCTTCCATTGGGCCTGATTTATTTGAAATAAATGATCATAGGTTCTCATGGGGAAAATGTTATATTGAGTTAATAGACCATTTTGATCCAAAAGACAAGTATATATAGAAAAAGGTCTGCATATTTTGGGTCCTTACCAAAACTGAAAAGCAAGCTAAAAAGAGTGATTTTTATGTACTAACTATATTTATTATAGAACAACTATGAATCTTAAAGGAAGCATCAGTCAAGAACAAACTGAATTGTGCAATTCATGGATAAAAATATTGGTCTGTGGAGAAACATCCTAAAAGTTTGGATGGGTAGAAATTTGGATTAAAAGATGCACTGTTTATTGAATGCTTTGTTGACAGGCAATTAAATGAAAGACATTGCTATAAGCTAAAATAACAGCAGCAGCAACCCCTGAATAATAGATAGCTCACCCCCTTTCTTCATGTGAATAGTTTCGTTGCTTTCCTTCATCCCCGATAGTCACATCAAGACACAGAATTAGATAAAATAGCTTTCCCTATTTGGTTCCCTCCAGATATGCTGGACCAAGTTCACAGTCATCTCATGTCTTAAATGTTACTGTTTTAGCATGGTGTGTATGTGGGTGGATATTTCAAGATTTTGTTAACTGCCTCACATATTCAACTGATTAGAAAGATGAAATAGAACTCATACTACTCAATCCATTTGGCACCATGGAGATAACAGGCGTAGTATTTCTGTCTCTTCAATGATACTCCCACTGCTATTCTCATAGTTCCAGTGACTAGAAAAAACCCACATTCCTATGCAGGAAAAAGATATAAAATCTTTCTTATTTCAATCAGTGTGGTACCTGCTTTCATTTAAAGAAGTGTGAACGGTCAATAAAATGAGATTCACAATGTTGCTGAATGTTACATAGATCAGACTTTTTAAAAAATCTAACGTTCTGTAAAATTTAATAACAAAAATAATATGTTTTGATTGGCATTTTACCAGTATCAGGCACAAAAAATCAGGAGCCAAAATAGCATTCAAAATCATTACAAGTTTATTTCATGCTACCTATACATAAAAATCTGATCTACTAATGGTCAGCACAAATTGGTGCCAGATAAGACTTCAAAGGGGGTGGAGTTAGATCTTTTTCTGGGGTGTAGAAACTCCAGATTGATGATATGTTTGACACATAAACCCCTCGGGCTCAGCCTGCTCATCTGCAACCAATTTAGTATCAACATTTTCTAGTCTCAGTACAGATCATATTATACTTTCCATATATCTTGTAGTTGACAGAAGACTTAGTATCACTTATGAAACAAATATAATTCTTCCAGATTCTGAAGAATGATGTTTACTATCATATCTCATATGAACTTTATCTTATAGCTAAGCTTACAGCTCAGTGTTACTGACCAGGTCTGACTTGAAGAAGAAAGCTCTTTGAAATATCTAGCCACAAAAGAGTAATTCCTTTTTTTAAATTATAAAATCATTAGTAATTTTAAAAGCATTAGAACAGAACTCTTGATGAAAACTAGTTTTTTTTAAAAAAAAAAACATATTCATATTATTTAGTTCAATAATTTTTGTCACACACCCTGAATTTGAATAGGTTTCGTTTGAAGAAAAAGGGAAGATTTAATCTTTTTAGAATTTAAGTCATGGAAAAATTCATATGGGCCAGCCTAAATGCTTGATCAATTAAGACAGAACTAATAAATGTGAACATTTTAGGTATATGCTTGGGTTTGATCCAGGGCAATCCCCATTTAATTTCTGCATTTGCTTCAAATCTTTCACCAGAGTGTTTTATACTTTCTTGTTGCCTTGGATAAAATCCGGAGGTGATATGCTTATTAAAATAAAGCTTTCTGACATAATATAATTACCTGAGTTGATCCACCTTATAATCTTATATTCCAGAAATTCTGCCTGATTCCATCATCACTTACTAGTAATAAAACAGACTTCTATAAAAGCCATTGTCAGTCTTTATTATAACTTTTATTTTATTAAAGTATTTAACTTTTCCCTCTAGGTATTTTCTGCTCATATTTTCTCATAATTTAAGAATTGCTATGCTCAGTCTGCCCCTGGATATACATTATTATTTCTGGCACTTTGCTTCAAACATACTTTTATTTATTCATTCAATTCATGCAATGTATATTGGCTGCCCAATTCTCGAATTGTGATTCTGGATGGCTAACATAAAATGAAAGGAGACAAACAACAGCAACCAATATTAAAACAGCAAAGAATGTAATGCAACTGAAGCCTCACATAGTTATTATCTTAACCATTATGAGACAACCTCAACCAATACATTAACTAGGTTTTCAAGGCCTTACCAAATTGGGCCGTCTGAATCTCAGGGGGTTGCTGTTCCAGAGGTCAGGCCCTGCTCACTGGGTTTTGCCAATGGTATCTAAAAATATCTGTTGTGTTTATACAGTTGTGTTGCTACTGACTTTCTTCCAATACTCTTCTTTCTATATAATGTTGAAGTTTACAGAATCGTGATAACAATTTTATTTTTTCAGACCAAGAAACAAAGTTGCCCAGAAAATGGAATAGAGATATCCTGTCCACTTGTAGAGTGTAAAAAGAAAATACTTCAGCTGTCTGAAAAGATGATTTAATTTTACTTTAGCTTCTACTGGGGGGGGGGAATTATCACTTTTTTTTTTTTTTTGCTTTTGGAATTAAAAGAACTGTCAATAAACAAGTGAACTACTTGTATAGTTCTGTAAAGTTTAGGGCAGATATAGGAAGTAGTTCTTTTACTAATATTTTTTTCTACTGGGTTATCTTGATCTTCTGTCTTTATTTCCCACAGGTTCACGGATGTGGGGAGAAAGCCAAAGCAAATGCCCGGCAGAGAATCAGCAAGGAAGGGATCCTCTATCCTGGGAGTGGGATGAAGGACAAGTCCTTGGATCCCACCAAGAGGGCTCACCTCCAGAGATGCTTGGACCAGAAACTCAACGAACTGTCCAACCAGCGAAAGAGTAGAAGGAAAGATCGGGAGAAATAAGAGGATTTGTCGCTTTGGAAAGGAATTAAACCTAACAAGCTGTCCTTTAAAGCTTGTTCAAATTTGCAGGGAAAAAAGCTAATAAAAATTTCGAACATTTGGGCTCATTTTTTTCTTTATAACCAGAACATGCCTTTGAATAGTTCTCAGAGGTCATAGTACTGCTTAAAGTTTCACCCTGAAAACCGTACCTGCAGATTTTGTAAAAGCTGTACCTTATGCTATAAAATATGTTTCTACCTCTCACATCAACGTTATAAAACCCTGTTGATTAGGGGAGAAAAGCAGTCTGCTTTGGCTTTCAATAATTACTTTTGCTGGCAGCGTTTTAAAATATACAGTGAACAGTTAAATAGATAGCTACACAATGAAGAGGGATGTTTGTTTAAGAGCATGAGTCAATGATTGAAAGTAACATAGGTATGCAATGTGTTTATGAAAGTGACAGGAAGGTAAAGGATGTGGTAGACCTGGATGAAGGTGACCTGATTGTGGAGTAGAGGTCATGAATATATCTGAGAAAATGAAGATGTAGATTTAATTATGAAAACTAATATATGAGTTGGCATGATCTAGAATATTGGTGTATATGCAAGAGAAATTAATAGTTTGATCATAATTTCTTGATATGCTCCATCAATGCTTATATTGGAAGAGCCAAGGATGAACCTGGGGGAAAACTGTGCGTGGCCCGAATCCATCTGAGAAAGTGCAGAAAAAATTAGCCTGCTAGTCGATGGGAATGGATGGGAAAAAGAGGAAAGACTGCAATAAAAGTTAAATGGGCTACTTGGAGACCCAACAATGAATGGGAACTGTTCAGTGACCATTTACTTAGAGGAACTTGTGCTTTAAGTAGTATGTATTTTAATGTGTATTTTTCTGTAGACATCAAAAAACAGTCCTTTTGGATGATGGTTTTGATTATTTAGGATCAAAGATTGTGAAGCATACAAAGATAATAGAAGCTTCTGACTACGAGAGAGACTATAATAATGTCACAAGTGGTTCTTGGAGGTAAAGGAAAATCCAGTTGGAGAAAAGGAAAATAAATGAGTGGAAGCAGAATGAGTAAGGGAAAAGTACAAATCCTGAATGAAGAATCATTTGTACATTAATTACTCTCTCCAGAGAATTAATAAAAAGTAGACATAAGCAAGGGGATATGGACATTGTTTGGAAAAGAATAACCAGTATAGAGTTATAAATGCTATAGAAATATATGCAGTTACACTAATGAGTATTAAAAAGAATGTTTGAATGATAGTGAATGGGGTGAACAAAAAATTGCATATAAGAGCATGATTGCTGCAAAAATTCAGATGAACAAAGTATATCTTATGATGTGTATAGACTGAAGAATGTAATACCAAAGAATATGAAACAAAAAGATGAATTGAGGTAGAGGGATTTTCACTGAAGTAAAACATTGTTTTAGAAGTAGGTGAAAAACACTAAAGAAGCAGCATCCAGCAGTGAATGAATTAACCAATAGAAGAGAATATATGTAGCTGCAGGTTGAACTGTGGAGTCCTTGGTGCATTCCAAGGTTAGTTGTTTTCTTGCAGACATTTTAGTTATCAAACTGAATGAATTAAAAGTGAAAGTGAGGAACTGAATTGGAATAAACCTAAAGTGAGGAAATATTGAAGTAGGGTTATGGAGATTGTGTGTGTGTGCGTGCACGTGCGTGTGTATGAATGGAATTAAAATGAATGTTAGTGGGAAAGGAAGGGAAAAAGAGAAATGGGCTATAAATGCAGGTGGAATTACTGGAGAGTTTAAAATATGGATGTAGTTTTATTATGGAGTGTCTGTGACTTCTTTAATATGATTCTCTGAAAAGAATGGGACAAAAGTTTTAGTTTGTAAAGTGTAAAGTGTCAGTAAAAAGTATTTGGCAGATTATTGACTGAAAATGTACTGAGGTGATGATGAGCAAAATTAGAGAAGAGTCATGCAGTTTTATGCCATTGAGGTTTAGACCAGATATTTGCTCCTCAGCAATTAACTGATAAATGTATGAATGTGAGGTAGAAAGTTTATTAAATATTAGTTGATTTAGAGAAACCATATGATGATGTGAATAAGCTTGAATTATGAAGTGTTTTGTATAAAATTACGAAGTTGGTTACTGAATGCCATAAAAGCAGTGTATAATGAAACTGAAATACATGTGGAAATAAATGGTTCAATACTGAGCAAGGGAGTAAGACAAGGATTGTGATGTCCACTGTTTATTTAATGTATTTATGGATACATGTATAAGGAAGACCTGTGATACTATTAGAGGCATATTACTGGGGAATTTAAATGTGCATATATATTTTTTTGCCAAAGGCTAAGAACTAGAATGATGTAGGGTTAATATCGGATATATGATGCAGGAAGAAGTATGAAAATCAATGTAATGAAGAATACAGTAGTATTCATTTTTAAAAAGGTATGAACAATTGCAAGTTAAGTATAAATGATAAAAATCCAGATGAATGGATTTGTATGCCCTCATAATTTTCTACAGATAGAAAAATGGCTGCAGAAATGTTAAGATGAGCAAATGTTAATAGGAGAGAAGTGTTGGGAGGAATGAATGTTTTTGAAAGAAATAAAAATGGCTGTGACTAAGAAGCTATTTCTGCCTGCATTGTTATATGGAAGCAGAGTTGTGTATGTCAGGCAAAGCAGAATGCAGTAAGCTGAATGCAGTTGGAATAGGATAGGGGTAGGCAATCTTGGCTCTTTTAGGACTCGTGGACTTAAACTCCCAGAATTCCTGAGCCAGCATGGCTCAGCTTGGAAACCTCTCCCTTTCCCCTCAGCATGGTTGGCTCAGGAATTCTGGGAGTTGAAGTCCATGAGTCATAAAAGAGCCAAGGTTGCCTACCCCTGGAATAGGGTATAGTAAAACCAGAACCAGAACTCAATCCTGAGAGAGGGATAAATGAATGTAGATTGAATGCAAAAGTGAGTGACCAATATGAAATAATTAGATTGAAAGTGATTGGATATGTGAATAAATGAATGAAATTAAATGAGGGATTGAGGATTGAATCACAAATCAAACATATGAAGGAAAATTAATCAGTTAATGTAGAAGGGAGTGACTGAAAATGTGGAATGAAATTAATGAGAACCTGAAAAAACAGGTGAAAATTTTAAAGAACAATAGACACTGCGTTAATTAATGTGTGTGTGTGATAAAAGCAAGGATGGCTTCAAACATTGAAAAGTATAGAGAAGCATTTTTAATAGTTTTGGTGTAAACCCATTTAAAGTTATATATATAAAATTTCTTATATCTTCCCAGCTTGCCTTGAAGAATACTGCAGTTTGCTTTGAAGATATATAAAGAAGACAAATAGCTTTTCTTTCAAACTGCATAGCTCTTTCTTCTCAGCAGTCATTAAATAAAATCTCTGAAGCAACATATTTTAGTTCACTATTAGAACCCAACTATAAAAGTCCAAATGGGCATTGCTTCTTTGAAGTAGGGGGACTTCGGCAAAACATGCCACATGTAGAGAATATTATTGTGCTTCTTTGATCATTAATAAGTTGTAAAACAAAATTGCACATACTGTAAACATCTACACCCCATTATAATAACAGCATGTTCTTTTGAGCTTGATGGAGGGAAGAGTGACTGTTCAACATTCCCACATCTGTTACCATTGCTGTCTGGGTTTGATAAAAGTTGGAATTTAGTAATATCTGAATTCATCACAGTTTGTCTTGAAGTTGTTACCCATTTATTGTATTTGTCAAGGCCACCCAACTCCAGAAAGTTTGGGCAGCGGTCAATGGAATTTGGAGCAGATCCAGACACACAATAGCTTCTCAGTGCACCAGGAAGAGAAATAAATTGGTGCAGTGAAAGGAAGAATTTGGATCCAGAACTCCAAGATCTTTTTAGAAAATTACTGCAGCATTAGGATAGAGGTGTGATTCTAGCATCTTCCACTACATATATATCCAGCTGCCTCCTATTGTCAGATACAGTTGTTTGTTTAGCATAGGAGAGGGCAAATTGCAGGTGATAACCTCTTAGCATCCCAGGATCACACTGCTAAAATTCAGCAGCAAAATGTAGACCTCGTTCTTTTAGGCTCATCCTTGTGGCGCCTGCAACCTGCTGTAAAACCAAATGTTTGAGTTATTCATCTTTGATCTAATATACAGGTATTTTTTTGACTGGCTGCAGTTCTCAAGGTCTCAAGAAGAAAACTATCCTAGCCTTGCAATTTAATTGAAAATTAGTTGGAATTTAACCATTCTTCTGCAGACATGTGCTAGCCCTTAACTTGGGGCTAGAGAATCTATAGACTAGATTTTATTTTTCTCAGAGTCCAGTAACATTTGATGCTTTTTGAGGTGCTTTGAATGAAAATTGTTAATTTACAGAACCAAGTGAGTATGAAAATAGTTGCCTTTATTTCATTCTGCAAAACTAAACATGAATTGGGCAAGAGAAAGCTGTCCGTTTTCAAGAGGGCTTGCAACAATATTGCCTTTGTTTATATATTTGCTCAAATATAAAGGAAGAAACTGCACTACTTACTTACTTACTTATGGAACTGTGATTGTGATTTTTACTTCATTATGTGAAGTAAAATACACTGCCAAAATATACAGAAGGTTATTAACAATTTTTTGTGGCTCTTACATTTCTGTGACACAGATGTTCTTAGTTCTAAAATAGCTGTAGCAGAAATTGCACAGCTTTGGATTTGGCCATCCTTTCTTGCCAGGCAATGTGTCCTTGAGGATCCACAAAACCCTGTGGTTTTTACCATCAGTTGGTATATTAACCTTGAGTCAGTTAACCTTTCTGAACTCAGAGAATTATTGGCTTTTCTTTTTAGTCGTTGCCATGAAATTAAAATGCTGTTGATGTTTTGTCAACCAGATAAACTGGCTTCATAACATTTCTATGATACTAATCACAATGTGGCTTCAACCTTGACTGCACTTTAGTGTATGTGACTTATGAACAATGTGAGACTGAAATAATAAAACTAAATGGATTTCTTTTTTAAAAAATGACCATAATTATGGTTTATGATTTACATAAAATAAATGTACACAGTTTAGAAAATCACGGTATGACACATTTTAGAGCAAATGGAGCATACAAAGTCAAAGGCAAGATTTAAAAGAGATCCAAATTGGCTCTAACGAGGGTAGCTTGATTAACTGTTGAAATAAATTTAACTTTTAGAAGATCCAGAACACAGTATACTTGATATACAGTGGAGGATTTAGAAAGTTTTTGAAGGGCCTATATTTATATTGCATCCTATACCTACTGGATAGTGCTTACAATTTCTTTTTGAGTCGATACAGATGTAGCTAGGTCATGTTACTTGGTTTCAAGTTGTACATCTCACTCTTTCTAGTATATTTGTCAATATGTAGAGAAGAGATTGTGGTTTGTTATTATTAATGATAATATTATTAATGATAATGGTAGCAGTCATAAAGGACCTAAAATTTTCCAAGTGCTAGACTGATATATTCCTATAGGATTATAGGTATAATATGGAAGAAGAAAACAGGAAGAAATCTATTTGGCTGGGTTGATCCCAAAAGGTTGAGCATCATCATTCTAGAGCAGTGGTTCTTAACCTTTTTAATGCTGCGACCCCCAACCGGTCTTAAGTCGAGGACTACTCAACCAGTCATAAGTCAAGGACTACTCAACTGGTGCAGCACCATTTGCAGAATGGGACTTTTGGCGGGCTCAGCAGGGCAGAGACAGCCTGGACAATTCCTATTGGCTTTTGAAAGCCAATAGAATTAGACTCTGTTCAAGAGAGTCTATTCTATTTGCTTTCAAAAGCCAATAGAATAAAAGGGAGTAGCACAGCTAAGGAAAAGGGGAAAAAAAGTGGCGGACTGCGTTGTTTGGCGACCCCCGTGAAATGGTCATTCGACCCCAAATGGGGTCCTGACCCACAGGTTGAGAACCACTAGAGAGGAAAGCCAAAATGGAGATTTGGGCTTTGCTTTCTTTCTTCCCCACTACATGCTGATAGAACTAGGACAACAAACCAATAAAAAATTGGCTAACATTCATTTGTTCATTCGTTCATGCAAAGTAACAGACCAGCAATCTTATTCAGATTCAGGTGCAAGCAGGTACAATCTTTGTCTGGCAACCTACAGAAAAATTTAACCGTTGCATTCTGTGTCACATTAATGTTTTGATGATATAATGACTTTAAACACACACAGAGATACATACACACAGACACATACATACGCACCTAAAGCAAAACATGTCCTTGGTCTGTAGTCTGCCTTGATCTGCCAACAAGATACTGCTGAACAAGTCCCTCATCTATGGAACAATCCGTATTAAGCATCATTATGCTTGTTTTTGTATACATCCGTGGATTTAGCTATCAGCCTATATCCTAAGGCAGTGGTTCTCAACCTTTCTAATGCCACGACCCCATAATACAGTTCCCCATGTTGTGGTGACCCCCAACCACTTGTACATCACCGGGTGCCAGGGGCATGGCCAAAGAAAAGGGGGAAAAAATGGCGGACAGCCTTGTTTGGCGACCCCCGTGAAACGGTCGTTCGACCCCAAATGGGGTCCCGACCCACAGGTTGAGAACCACTGTCCTAAGGCAATTGGAAAATGTTTTAACAAATACAAAAATGCAAAAAGATGAAAATATGTGTTAATAATTTTCCTTACCCTGATACTATCCAAATGAGTTGGTAGGTGAGTTCAATTAACCTCAAGCAACATGGATTTTCTAATGGGAAAAATGCAAGTGAAAAGGAAGGGAAGAAGCATCATTGTTTTTCCTCCAATTATATTTAGGAATATATTTTGTTAGAGTAGATCTTGCCTTATCCTGGCATTCTGCATTGCTGCAATGCTGTCTTTGCTACTTTGGAAACATCTAGTTTGCAATGAATCCTCATTTGAAGTCAGTTGATTAATAGTTAACATTCTAATGTGTTTAAAAGTATTTCAAAGATGAAATATAATGAAATATTAACAATCCCATAGTCACAAAAGTAAGTTATCAGATGTAATGACAATACATTGAAAGAGAACAATAATTCTCTTGATGTTTAGTTTATTTGTGCTAATAAGAATAAAGAAAAACAGTCCTTATCAGATCTGGACAGCAAAATTCAGGGCTGCTATAAGGAGTTAGTTTTTTTGCATCTTTTTGTTGTTTTTAGTGATTTTGGCAAGCTGAATATAGGCCTGTAGCACCCTTGAAGCCATGCCAGATTTTGCTGAACCTGTCCCCCAAATGCACGTTCAGCTTTTATCTGATTAAATTGTCTTGACAACACTTAGCAATCAACATCAGGCAAATCACCAGCTGATATGATGATGTTCAATTACATAAAATCCCAGCTGATTACAATGAATTACTATTCAATTCCATCCCCAGCCCATCCTCCCTCCCTGCTTATATACTGATTTCCAATAGCTACTAAGCCAGTGGTTCTCAACCTGTGGGTCGGGACCCCATTTGGGGTCGAACGACCATTTCACGGGGGTCGCCAAACAACGCAGTCCGCCATTTCACCCCCCCCTTTTCCTTAGCTGTGCTACTCCCTTTTATTCTATTGGCTTTTGAAAGCCAATAGAA